TATCTCTTCGTTTTCCGTTTTTTCTCTTTTTTTATTCAGCTGTTCAATAAGTTTTCAATCAGTTGTATTTGCCAATCAACTGAAATTTCATTCTGCCAAGAAAAAAATATAACAATTTTTGATTACTTAAAGTACTAATCAGCTGAAACAATCAAAGTGAATTTTACTGAATTGAACCGTCCTGAATGAACAGAACTGAAGGCTGCGCTATGATAAGCTGCACTAAACGAAATTAAATTCAGTTAGACCAAAATAGATATACTGTCACTCTGTAGTTCAGAAAGAAAAGATCAAATAAGGGGAGGAAGGAGACAAGGAGGAAGAATAAGATGGCGGCAACGATAACAAGCAGCGGTAAATAGATGAGTGAAATAGACAAAGTTAAGGAATGATCACTGGAAATGAGCATAGATTTTTTGGACAATAACTTGAAAGGTTTGCTGCTGTAACAAAATTTTTACTTTCGATAAACAGCGACAAAAAGAAGAACGAAACAAATTAAAAAAAAAATTGAAAAAAAACTTTAAATTGGTTTTTTGAAATTTTTTCCTTTTAGTCGCTTTCTGTAACTCAAGACATCTTTGCTGACGACACATTTCGATCAATTCATTCATCACCAAACGACAAGCTAAACTTTTTATAACAACTTCAATAGCCTCCAACAGCCTCAGCTCAGTTCCGCTCGGTTCCAACATATATATTTTTTTTCTAGGTAAATTTCCATAACCAAACTTTTTTTCCTTCTATTCTTTTTTTTTTTTCTTTCTGTCTACTTACTTTTTTACCGCTCTCAAATTATTTTTTTTTTTTTGTCGTCGGTCGATACGGTTAGCCAATTTAGTGGCATAAATATGTTTGAAAACAACAAATTAACTAATCACACATACACACACACACATACAAATATACATACTTACACACTCACATCCATACAAACACTAATCTTATTAAAGTCACCGGTACTAAATGTATGAGAATGTAAAAAATTGAAATAAAAGAGCAGAAAAACGACGACTACAGACAAAAAATGCCAAATTTCACGATAGAAGATACATAAAGTTTAGGTCAAAAAAGTGCAGAAAAAAATTAGTGACTTGAATAAATAAATCAAAAGCAGAAAGAATTATAAACAGAAAGTGTTAAAAGTAGTTTTTTTTGTTGTCGTTGATGTAATGAGTTTTTTGTTTTTCTTTTTTTTTGTTCAAAGATTATTCGTCATAAAAATAAACATTGTCAGATTGATTTTAAGCAGTTCAAAGATGATTTGTTCATCAAGAATGATCTTGCCTCCTTATTTGGCCAAAAAAGATCAATTAGTGGCAACCAAAATAACAAGAAGCAAAGTTTGAGCCTTTCTTCTCTCTCACTGCATTATTCGCTATCCCTTCAGCTTTTTAAAGATGAACAGTGAAAAGGCACCACAAATATTTTGACCTTGAAAACAAATCTTTTCCGTTTGATCAGATAATTGCTGAGACCTGAACTTACACTTTGCTAAACTATTTAATGTGGAATATAGGTAAATCCTTTCATTTCACTAATTTTACTTCCTCAATCAACTAATAACTGCATGCTGTTGATATTTGCAAAAGATAAAGAACAGAAAACAGAAGCAGCAAAAAGTAAAGAAAGAAATAAGTAAATTTTTTATACTTACATAACTCGTTATAATAATCGACGCATTTGCCATAACATTCAGCAGCCTTTTGAAGTTCTTCCAAGATCCTAAAGAGAATGTGGTAAACGAAGAGAAAAAAAGCATAATGTTGTCATTATTATAATTTCAGTTTTTTTTGTTGCCACTTTTAGCTGGGAACAACTATACCTGAATATAGAATAAAAACGCAAATTATTTATGCTGCAGTTTGCTAGAATTTCAATAAAATTCCAAAAAAGAATCAAAAAGACTACCATTAGAGCTATCAAAACAATTCAATTTTTGTGCAGTTTTTTTCTCTTGCTCAAATGCACAAAATAAAGATTAAAAAATTGCATTTTTTTTTCACCTGTTTGTTGCTCCTTATAATTTGTTGAATGCAAACAAATTTTTTTCTTGATTTCTTAAATTTTATTTTTATAAGGAGTAAAAAAAACTGAAAAAACTCATTTATTTGTGACAAGTGAACAAGCAGATAAACGACAGCGTAAATTTCAATAAGCGAAAAAAGTCTCAAATTTCGGTTCTTGCCTATCAAAAAAACCAAAAAAAAAAGTTTGAAGAGGAAAAATAGGACATACAACTACTGTTAATCAGATTACCTTATCATAACTGGAGGCGCTTAACAGTAAGGCGACAACGAGTTTGGCACCGACAAAACCGTCAACTTTCCACACAGTATCGAGACGATAGATTGAGTATTGAAAGTTTTTGCAAATAACAGCAACGCATAGAAATGGATTCTCCAGGAACAGGTCGATACGACAGCCAGAAAAGTAAAACTATAAACTGGTGGTAAAGCCGATTATCAATAACCGACAGTATAAAAAAATAAACAAAACAAAAGCAGAAACGATGCAGAAATAAAAACAATATAAACAAAAAAAAA